GGCAAGATAATGGACAGCTAGTAAGTATGCTTTTTTTTAACACAATTTTTTTTTTTTTTGCCATAACTGGTAACGTTCAGGCTTTACTCCTGGCTCTCTATGCTCAGGGATTACCCTGTTGGTGCATAAAGGTCTGCACACCAGCCCTCTGAACTGTATCTCTAGCTCTCGTTTTGATTGCTTTTAACTTAGTGAAGATTTATTCTAAGCAACGAACAGACGTTCAAAGGCTTTTATCAGGCTGTGATAAGTTACCATTGCATAAATTTCTGAAATGGCAAATAGGAATATAGTTCACGTTGGGTCTGTGGTAGAGAGCACTTGTGAATCATTCTTGTTAGCACTAGCCCTGCTCTGCTATTAAATTGCAGCCTCTGTTTGGGTAATGTCTGTGTGTGAGCGAAGGTAGCCCACCACGCTACTCCTTGTTGGAGCAGAACAAGCATATAACCCACTGAAGGTTCACAGTTATTACCGAGAGCCAGAGACATAATCCAACAGGCTGGGTGTATGCAAAGCATGCTTTACATGTAGGCAGCCCAACTTCCACTCCTGGCATCACATGGTTGGTCCTCAGGCAGCTCCGGGAGCAGCCCCTGTGCACTGCTGTTATGATTTCCAAAACAGCAAAAATTTAAAAAAGAGACTAAGTCGTTCCTGAGGCCCAGAGCCTGTAGTCCAGCAGCATAGGACCAAGCAGCACTACGTCCTTGAAACATGCAGATGGTTGGGGTATCTTTTTAGAAATTCTGCAATAAATTCAAGCATTACAACAAGCTCAGAAGTTCCTCTTATTTCTAAAGCATACCTTTGAGAGCTGTACAGTTAAAAGGATATACTCATACTGGCAAAATCACATTTGTTCAACAGTATTGGTGTTGTGTTTTGTTTGACTTTTTTTTTTAAATTAGTGAGACACCATGAGGTACAGTTGCAGACTTACAAATTTTTGTGCTTGGGTTTCAATTATACAATAATCAAATACCCATCCCTCCACCAGTGCCCTTTTCCCACCACCACGGATCCCAGTATCCCTCCCACCCGTTTTTTTTTTTTTTTTTGAGCCATACCTGCTGATATTCACTTATTCCTAACTCTGCACTCAGGAACTACTTCTGGTGGTGCTCTGGGCACTGTATGGGGTGTCTGGGTTCAAGCCCAGATAGGCTGTGTGCAAGGCAAGCAGTTTGCCTTCTGTACTATCACTCTGGCCCCTCAATAGTAGTGTTCAGAGAAAAAAAAATTTTTTTTTGGTGGCAGTGAGGTGTTTGGGCCACATCCTTAATGTGTCCCAGGCTTTCTCCTAGGTCTCTGCTCAGGGATCACTCCTGGCAGGGCTCAGGGTACCACATAGGGTCCTGGGGGTTGAACCCAGCTTTGCCATGTGCAAGGCAAGTGCTTTACCAGTTGTACTATCTTTCTAGTTCAAGCATTAGTGCTCATTATATGGATATAAGCAAATAAAGTTGAAATATATAGATTAGGGGGTTATCTATGAATCTCCTTTCTTTGCCATGCCTGCATCATGAAGTTGTACCAGAAACTTAGGTTCAGGATCATCTCTTTTGTTCTGTAAGTAGTTATGAAGACAGACCAGTATAAAAAAATGAGACCTTGATAGACTGTGACTAACCTGCCATGGTCAGGACACCAGCATAGTTGTACAGGAATCCTGATGCTGGCTGGCTTGCAGAGCTAGTGAGAGGTCCATGCTGTTGTATGGCCTCATCTCAACTGCAGAGATCCGAGCCATGTTCTTGTTTGAACTGGTGCACTGAATAAGTTGCCCTGCTCTTGATTTCCTAAATACTGGCACCAGCGTCTTCCCATCAGGACTTGAGAATGCATCTGTTAGCATGTTCTGCAGAACTAGCTGTCCTCTTTATTAATATTTGCTGAGAATGGCAGATGAGTCTCTTCCCTTCATGCCCAACCATTTTTCTTTATCTACCTGGTCCTCTTCTCTGCTTTTTGTTTTGGTAGTTCCTATTCAGTTACTTGTCATTGGGATCATTTATTTTGTTTTAAGTCTAGAAAACACAAAGTTGTTCACTGTTCTCTTACTTATTCCTATATTTTTAAATGAAACAGCTTTTTTTTTATGATGGGGGAGGGAGGTGGGGGCTACACCTGGCTCTGCTCAACAGTCACTCCTGGTGAGTTCAGGGGAACTATATGGGACACTGGTGTCAAACCTAGGTCAGCTGTGTGCAAGTCAAGCTCCCTGCCTACTATACTGTCTCTATAGCCCTGGAACAGCATTTGTGTAGGGTAGAAGAATTTCTTTATCAGAACTTGGTGGTGCAGTGAGTAATAATGGTAGTTAAGGTTGCTTCAGAATGTCTAGATGGTCAACTTAAGATTTTTGTAAGCCTTGCCTAGCTAGAATTTTTAGTGGGGAAGACTGAGAAAGGTGAACAGAAAGAAACTAAGGCTGTTCATGGGTAAAAATTCCATATAACTGCAAGAGAATAATAACTTCAAGTACTACATTCAGTAATGATTTTTTTCTCATGTGAATTGCAGGAAAGATATATTCTTTTTTTTTTCTTTTCTTTTTGGGTCACACCCGGCGATGCACAGGGGTTACTCCTGGCTCATGCACTCAGGAATTACTCCTGGTGGTGCTCAGGGGACCATATGGGATGCTGGGAGTCGAACCCAGGTCAGCCGCGTGCAAGGCAAACGCCCTACCCACTGTGCTATCGCTCCAGCCTTGGAAAGTTATATATTCTTAGGTTCTTAATTTTGCTGATGTTGAAAAAATTTTATGAAGGAGATGTGGCTCAGAGGTAAAGTGCCTTACTAGCCTGTGTGAGGCCCTGGGTTTGGTCCCAGGCACCACGCACACACAAAAAGCAAAAACAAACATTATTTTAGGATTGCTGGTGTTTTCATGGGCCGGCTTGGTCTTTTGCTGCCATGGTTTCCTGTGCGGTGCAGGGGAGCAAGCTGAATGCTTTGTGCTGCCTGCCAGCCGCAGGGGCTGTGGGAGCGTCCTCTCACACTCCAGTGTCAGCCCTCGGGATTGTCTGTTTTTATTTTGGGGGGAGGTCCTACACTCTGGTGCTTGTGGTTACCTACAGCACTTTGGGGGATCATGTGATGCCAGACATCTACCTGGGGCTCCTCCCCCTTGAAGTCTGCACTCCAACCTTTTGTGCCATCTCTCTGGTTTGTCTCAATTAGCCCTGACTGAGGCAAACCTGCGGTGTGTGCTCTTGTGTGGTAGAAGAGGCCTGGTTTGATGTGAGAATGTCGGTTCTCCAAAGGTTGGGCTGGGGCTGGAGTGATAATACAGCAAGGAGGGCACTTGCCTTGCACAAGACCAACCCAGATTCAATTTCTGGTATCCCATGTGGTCCCCTGAGCACTACCATGAATGATCCCTGAATGCAGAGCCAGGAGTGAGTCCTGAGCACCTCCAGATATGGTCTCCAAACCAAAAATCAATGGGCTAGGGAGCATGGATAGGTAAGTTCTGACAGGAGCAAGGATGCTGAGGAGGGAGATGAGTCCCGGCTCTCAATCACTGTGCTCCTGAGCCTTTGTACCCCGGCACTGCCTAGCACTCAGGGAGCTAGAGTGGTCAGCAGAGAGTGACGGATAGGCGAGAGAGAAACGCTGCAGAGCAGAGCAGAGCCCACAGTGGGGTACAGACGGGGTGTGGTGGGCAGAGCCAGGGTTCAGAACAGAGTACTCTTGCAGGGGAGAGGGATCCCTGTGCCTTTGCAGATGGCACTGCCTGAGGCACTGGCTTTGTGGGCCTGGTGTTCCTTGCCCTCCTGGGAACTTTCTGCGGTGTTGGTTACATCTGCTCTCCTTTCCATTTCAGATGTTTTCTTTCTCTTTCTCTTTCTCTCTTTCTCTTTCTTTTTCTTTTTCTGTTGCCTTTCCTTTCATTATCCCTTTCCTTTCCTTTCATTATCCTTTCCCTTCCTTTCCTTTCCTTTCCCTCCCTCCCTCCCTCCCTTCCTTCCTTCCTTCCTTGCCACACCAAGCTTGCTTCTGGCTCTGTGCTCAGGAGGCATTCCTGACGGGGTCCCAGGGAACCATATGGGGTTACAAGGTTTGAACCTGGGTCTCTTGCATGCGGGACAGGCACCCACCTCGCTGTGCTAACTCTTTGCCCTAGAAGCAGTTTTATTTACCCCTGCAAGCTTAGTCCCTGCCAGAGTGTATTCTGTCCATGTGTTGTTTCTGTGCTTCCTGACCTTTTCCTGTGGGACATAGCAGGAGGGGTAGTGACCTGTTCTTGGCGGGGTGGGCAGGCGGGCTGCCTCCAGCTCTAGGCATTGCAAGCAAGCTTCTCCTCTCCTGTGGGAGCTGTGCCCTGCACAGCCGTTTCAAGATGTGCTAGGAGGGTGCTTGATACCAAGCCATGGGCTTCCGAGTCCTGGAGCCACTCCATGTTTCTGAGCAGGAGAAATAGACAGGCTAGGGCTGGCCAGAAGGGACCTCCCCGTCATTTTGGGAGACAGGACAGAGGATCAGGCAATGAGAGCAGGCCACCCCTCACCGTCTCCTGGGAGGAGCAGGGTCTAAGAGTAGGTGCTGGTGTTCTGTGCCTGTAGTCTGAAGCCTTGACTTTCCTGAGGAACCATTATGTTCCACCTTTGCGTCTGCAGTGCTTTAAGTTTTCAACTCTGACCTATTTGCATTCTGTTCTGAGTCACTTGGCCCTTGTACCGTGTGGTTGCAGTCTGGAACAGCTAACCCTTGGGAAGACAGTGTTGGGACGTCTGTGGAGCATGTACATGTCATGTTCCTGGAGAGCCTTGTACCGAGAGAACAGGAGACTCGAGGTACCTTTGATGGTGTTCTGAAGGCAGCATCTTTTGTTACTTTTTTTGGTACTTGGTTGTGTTTAGAAGAACATGCAAATAGCCAGGTTCTGCTTTCAACCTAAATCCTCTTGCATATGCACATTTTAACTTTGAATTAATAAAGTTTTATTTAATGATAATTTGGATGCAAATGCATGTATCAATTTTTCCTAGGTACCAGCTGCCAAGGTTTCAGAGCTAAACCCGAATGCGAAAGTATGGGGGACTCACATGTTCCACTTGGAGGCAAGTAGTGCAGCAGATGGTGGCGTGAATGCAGCATGGGAGGACCCCGGCCAGGATGGTGAGCAGGCGCTGTACAGAGGGGGAATGGCTTTGCTCTTAAGACTTTGTGCACTTTTAACCTATTTTTGCTCGAGCAAACCTATTTTTAAGAATTTGTGAGGGGCTAGAGGTGGAGTGACATAGTCCAGTGGGTGGGGCACTTTCTTCGCATATGGATGCCCTGGATTCAGTCCACAGCATTACATGATTCCCCAAGCCAGAAGTTTACCCTACAGTACTGCTGGGTGTGGCCTAAAAACAAAAAGAAAAATTGTGAGGGGCAGGAAGATAGGATGCAGCTAACCTGTTAAGGCAGCATTTATGTTCCCTTGAGCAGAGTCAGGTACAAGCCCTGAGCACGGTTGGTTGTGGCCCCAAAACTGGGGGGAGGGGGGGCGGGGGGGGGCGGTAGGAAAAACTAAACAACAAAAATTGTGAATTAAAATTTGTGCCATCCTTTGTGATCTTTTGAAGAGTCAGGAGATCTTTTATAATTAAGTTAAAAAATTCAAGTAACTGTAAGATTCGTATTTGTCTCAAGTAAAAGTTACTCTTCTAAGCCTGCTTTTGGGGGTGAAATTTTTACTTGTAGGCCTTGATGCAGATGGTAATGGGGGCAAAAGCCATGAGGATGCAGCACTATCAGATTTACAGGACGCGGACCAAACAGAGATGAGCACTTTGGCCGTGGATCACTCAGAACAAGGATCAACACCTGAAGACAGTGAAACAGGTAAAATGAGAGAGAACATGCACTCTGTGCTGCCTCTGATTCTGAATGCTGAATCTTTTTCTAAACAATAGACTTCACAATGATCTCTTTTTTTTAACTTTTTTATTTTAATTTTTTTGTTTGTTTTTGGGTTATACCACCCGGATGACACTTAGAGGTTACTTGTCACTCTGCACCCAGGAATCACTCCTGGTCATGCTCAGGGAACTGAATGGGATGCTGGGAGTCTGACCCAGGTTAACAAAGGCAAGAGCCTTCCCAGATGTACTATCTCTCCCCGACCCTGGCATTGCTTTCTTAAATTCTACTTCACATTCATTCCTTGTGGATTCCGGTTGGGGAAAGTTCAGAAGAGCCTAAGCCCTAAGAAGTTCCTGAAGAGCTAAAACAGTGTTTTTAGGAGAAACAGAAGACAGAATCTAGGGTGGGGGGGAAGCATGCATAAAGAACTTTCCAGACTTCATAGAGTAGGGACTGTCTAAAGGGGATGAGAAGAGAAAGGTAGTTGAAGTCACATTTGGGATTTATAGAAAGTATAAAGCTTTGCAGCTTTCTTCGTTTGTTTTTGTTTGGGGGCCACACCTGGCAGTACCGAGCCCTGCATCTCCTGGCCTGCACATAGAAATTACCCGATGGTGCTTGGGGCACCATATGGGATGCTGGGGACCAAACCTAGTGCAAGGCGAGCACTCTACCCACTGTACCATTGCTCTGGTCCTAAGCTTTGCAGCTTTATCCCCATGGGTGAGATGTTATTGGCATGACAGACATGTGAATTTGACAGAGGATGAGGAAAGGGTTCAGAGAAAAGACATAACTACACACATCTAGAGAAGTCTTGGCTTTGGGGTTGTACCTGACAGTGTTCAGAGGTAACTTTGGTAGTGTTAACAGGCCCCGTGGGAATTGGACCCCGGCTTTTCCTGCAAAGCAGGGACATTAAGGCCTTGGAACGATCTCCCTGGCCCTCACTGGAGATCTTTTGAGGTCCTTGTGTGGGTTTTTGGTTTTGGTCTGGTTATTTACTTAGAGTAATGTTTTCCAGGTTCATCTCAGTTGTTGCAAATGGCAGTTTTTCCATCTCTCATTACTGAATCATTTTCATTGTTTGCAAACTGTGCAGCAGTTAGGCTGTTTACCTATTTTGACTACTGTGATTGATACCTCAGGGAAAATAGGGGAGTCAGATGTCCCCTTCAGGGTACTGATTTTATTTTCTTTGGAAGTGAAGTATTATAGGATCATAGGGTGGCTCTATTTTTAATATTTTGAGGAACCGTACTGCTTTCCACTGTGGCTGCACCAGATGTAGTCAGTCCTGACTACAGTGTAAAGGCTTCCCTTTCCCCCACATTCTTCCTAGCACTGTTGTTTCTAGCCTGTTTTATAAGTATCATTCTCCCACAACAGAGGTGAGACCACCAAGAAACTGTGCTTCTGATTTGCATTTCCCAGGTGATGAGTGAAGCTTATTCCTTTGACTACTGTCTTAGGGAAAATACCTTTTAGGTCCTTTGCTTATTTTGTAATTGGATCATTTTCTTTGTACATGGTCATTACCTATTTTGTTTGCTTGTTGTATCACAGAGGTGCTTGAGGGAACCTTATGTAGTGCCAGGGATTAAACTTGGGTCAGCGCGTGCAAGGCAATAATGCCTTACCCATGTACTGTCTCTGGCCCTCCTTACATATTTTGTGTATCAACTCTGTATTAGAAGCATGACATGTAATTATTGTGTCATACTCATTAGTTGTCTTTTCATTTTTTGGAAGGCTTCCTGTGTGGCACAGAGGTTTTTTATTTGGGCATCATCAAGCTTATTTTATTTTGCTTTTTTTTTTTTTGTCTTCTGCTTTTGGTGTGAAAGTCAGGAAAACAGCACCATGAGTGATATCCAGTACATCCTATTATTTTCTCTTCTAGATGTTCTGTAATTTCAGACTTTGTTTCAAGTTTTTAACCTTATGAGTTTTCATGTGTGAAGTGAGACAGGGCCCAGTATCATTAGTGTGCATGTGGCTTCCCAATTTTTCTCCAGCATCTTCTATTGAAGAAACTGTCCTTTCCCTACTGTGTATTCTTCACTCCTTTGTGGTAAATTATTTGACCAGGTATTTATGATTTTGTTTCTGGGCTCTTCATTCTGTTCCTCCTATCTGTCAATTCTCCTCTGCCCCCCTCTGGTTTTAGTTTTTTGGGCCATACCCGTCACTGCTTAGGGTTTACTCTTGGCTCTGTGCTCAGGAAACACTCCTCGCATGCTGGGTGCTATATGGGATGTCAGGGATCAAACCAGATTCCTGCATGCAAGGCAGTTCCCACCGCTGTACTGTATCTGACCCAAAGGCAGTTTGTTTCTGTTTGTTTGGTTTGGTTTGGGAGCCACACCTGATGATACTCAGAGTTACTCCTGGCTGAGGAGTATTATCAGTCCATAATTATTCCTGGCGGGCTCCAAGGACATATGGGATCCTGGGGAATCTAAGCTGGGTTAGTCCCTTATAAGGCAAATGCCCTACCTCCTATTCTGTCATTCTGGCCTCTTATCCGTATGTGAGTACCACACTGTTTTATTACTGCACCTCTATAAAATGGTTTGAAATCTGGAGCATGTTGCCTGTTGCTTTGTTTTTTCTCCAACTGCTTGCATTATCAAAACCATCAATGTAAACAGTAATGCAAAAAGGTTATCTTTTTGTAACAATTAAAAAGGTTGCTTCTGGGGCTGGAGCAATAGCACAGCGGGTAGGGCGTTTGCCTTGCATGTGGCCAACCCGGGTTTGATTCCCAGCATCCCATATGGTTCTCTGAGCACCAACAGGAGTAATTCCTGAGTGCAGAGCTAGGTGTAAACCCTGTGCAACGCCAGGTGTGACCCAAAAAGAAAAAAAAAAGTTGCTTCTACAAATCGGCTCTTGTGGTTCAATACACATTTTTGGATTATTTGATCTATTTCTGAAAAATGCTATTGACATTCAGTAGTCTTTGTACTAAAAATGTGAATGATTGCTTTGGGTTTTACACTCATTTTAATAATCATTCTTCCAACCATATTCACAGAATATTTTTCCATTTATATGTCTTCTATCTTTTTCATCCTCTTATTTTCAATGTATATGTCTTTCTCATTTTTGGGGTTTTTTTTTTCTTTTTGGGTCACACCCAGCAATTTAGGTGATTAATATCTTTGTCAGATGACTTGTTAAAAATCACTTGTTTTGGCACTGGTGGCAGAATCCCTTGATTCCTTTGTTGTCATCTATCATTTGATTCTTAGAGCTTTTGGCGTCAGGATTCAACGGAGCAGGCTCCTCTTCCTTTATGCATAGACTCTTTCAGGGACAGAACTTCCTCTGATAGATTCTGAGCTGCTGGTCATCACCTTTGGAATCCCAGTTGTGAAATGGGGCTCTAGGGGAGTACACATGCCTTGGTGGCTTGGGTTGCAGGTTTCTTGGTGGCTTTCTAGGAGGCAAAGGGGTGTGTGTTGCGGGGGGCGGGGGGGGAGGCTGAATGATACGTCCTGTCTGGATCAACTTATAGGCCCAGGTTGGATGGCCTGTCCCAGTGAGAGTGGAGCAAGAGAGAGCTGGGGGCTAATCTTGCCAGCTGTTCCAGTGCAGGGCCGTTGCAGAGTCTGCAATGATGAACTGGGTGGCTTTTCTCCAGGGTCTTCTGGGCTAGGCAGAGAGCAGCTGAATGGGAGTCAGGCCATTCACGGAGTGCAGCCCAGACTTTGGGCCGTGTCCCTGTTGCCGGGAGTGGATGGTGTTGGCACCAACAGTCAAGCTCTCTGGAGGCCAGAGCTGTCTTCTCACCCCAACTCTCCTTAGCCTCTCAGCCTACGACCACTCTATAGTTTTACCTCAGAGGAGCACAAAAGCCCATTTGTCTGAACAAAGGTGGCCAGTTTCTGTGTCTGGTAGCAGGTGATGTTACGCCTTTTCTATTTTTGGCTGGTGGTGCAGGGGGACTTACTTTGCAGTGCTCAGGCATTATTCCTGGCTAATAATGGGAGTACACATACCTTGGTGGCACTAAAGGGATCAGGCCTGGCAGGGCTTGGGAGACCAGGTATCTGAGGATTGAACAAGGCAAAGCCCTCTATCCACTGCCCTGTCTCTCCAGCCTTGTGTTCTGTGCTGGGAATGGAATGCACAGGCTCCCACGTCCCAGCCCCTCTGCCCTGCACCTGTACTCTGCCTTCAGCCCTCTGCGCTCGACCTGCCTCCCGCACTGTCGCATCTCTGACTCTTTTCACGGTATCATCTCTGTTATCCATGCTTTTCCTCAGCCCTGCTCTCTGCCGTGTTGGGTGAAATGGGGTTAGTTTCCAGGGTAGGTTAGGTGGTTTGTGAACGCAGGTAGATTTTGTTGAGCTCTTTAAAAATTTTTGGTCTCACTGTCATGTCTTCACTTTGTCCTTAGAATGGTCTTTATTGACTTGTTTGTTTATTTGGTTTTGGAGCCACACAGTGCTTTGGGTCATTTCTGGCTCTGTTTAGGGAACCACATGGTACAGAGGTTTGAATCCAAGCCTCCCACATGGAAAGCATGGGCTTAGACCATTGAGCTACTTCTCTGGCCTCTTCACTTTCACTTTTAAAAAACATGTTTTCGGACCAGAGAGATAGTACAGTGCGTAGGCCTTGTATAGTGTCCACCAGAGGTTGATCCCAACATCTCATATGGTCCCCTGAGCCCTGCAGAGCTAGAACTAACCCCTGAGTACTGCAGGGTACGGTCCAAAAACCAAAACCAACAAACCAAAGAATACTTGGGCTGGAAGTACAGAAGTAAGGTGCTTGATTTCCACATGGCAGACCTGGGTTGTGAATGCCCTGGGTTCGATGCATGGCATCACAAGCATTGCTTAGTGAGATCCCCAAACTAAAAATCCAAAGACAGTGTCTTTTGTCAGGTAATTCCATATATCTGACATAATGTACGTAACGCACGTCTATAAAGGAATGTGTGGGAGAGCTCCGTGGCCAGCCTAGTCTGAGCTCTCCTTTGAGGCAGTGTTCAGGACTGCAGGCTCCTTGCCCGAGTCTTCTTCTCTTCCTGGAAGCCCCAGAGCTGACAGCCATATATGGGAAGTGTCTGCCATGTCATCCAGGACCTTCAGTGACTCCTAGAGTCTAATATCTGTTTCTGCGTTCTTCTGTAGAGCTGTTTCTTTAGTGTATTCCTGCAGGCTCTGGCACTCAGCAGTTTCCACTGGTGACATCTGCGTGAAGATGAGGGCAGGTGCATGAGCTGCTTGCATAGAAACAGAACAGTCCATACTGTTGCTGCATTTCATCTCCCATCTTATTGGGCTCTTTACACTGATTCTTTTCCTTCATCGTTGGTGTGAATACAAGGGTTTGCGCAATTTGTCATAATAGGAATCAGGCACAGACGCTTTGTTGTGGTGTTTGGAATCTTAGAAGGCAGTGCTGCGGGGTTGCACTCCAGTGGGCCCTGGTTTCTAAAAAAGTATCTGTGCCAGATGGATTAAGGTGAACTCTGAGTGGCTGGAGTGATAATGTGCAGGGCACTTGCACTTGCCTTGCCTGTGGCCCAACCTGCGTTTGATTCCTGACACAGCCCACCAGGAGTGATCCCTGAGTGCAGAGCCAGGAGTGAGCTCTGAGCACACTGGATGTGATCCAGTAACTAAAAAGATAACAAAAAAGATGAATGTTGAAAACAGTAACAGTACTCTACTAATTCTTTTGCTTCATAAATTTTAAGCCGTTCTTCCTGAGTTTATTATTATTTCTACGTAGGAGGAAATGAATCTCAACCAGAAAACCAAGAAGACCCCCGAGAAGTACTCAAGAAAACATTGGAATTCTGCTTATCTCGGTGAGTATAATCAGTGGTATTCTAGAACTTCGTGAGATGATGTGTGTGGCTTACATACAAATGTGACACTGTAGAAGTGTGTGGTGACTGATGCCCATCTATGTCTAGGTACAGCCTTCCAGGATTCTGAAACATGTGATATTTATTCCTTTTGACTTACTGGAGAACCAAAACCCTTTAGAGCAGTGTTCCCACAGTGGTGAGAGTCATCCTGCTGGTCTTATTCTGGGTACACACCGTCATTCTGACAGCAGAAACATTTGCAGCACATCAGGAAACTCAGTAGTTTTCTACACTTTTCCTCAAATAATGCCAAGCACTGCTGGAGCACTGTTTTTCATTTGCGTGGCTTCATATCTTTCTTTTTTTTTTTTCTGAATATTTTTCTCTTGAAAAATAGAGAAATTTATGTTTTTGTTTTTGGGTCACACTCAGTGATTCTCAGGTCTTATTTCTGGCTCTGCACTCAGGAATCACTTCTGGCTGTGCTCGAAGGACCATGTGACATGCCGGGGATCAAACCAGGCAGGGTTGGCTGCGTGCTCCGTACCACCTCCCTCCTTCCCCCCCAAAATAGAGAATTTAAAAATTCAAGTGGATACATAAGCCAATGGAATCAGATTAAATGGAATTTTCTTTGTGCATGAAGCAAATGTTCTTAGGCAATGTATAAAGCTTGCTCAGTGATAGTTATGGTGATACTTAGATTTTGCCGTGGGCCTACCGTCGATCTCACAGAGGGGTCAGGTAAGTGCTGTCTTGGGGACTGGGCCAGCTGTTGGGCCTCTCTCCACTTACCAATAGGAGCACAAAGATGCTGCCTTGCAGGCTGAAGGCTGTATTGAATTGTCCCCTTTCTTTCTTGCCTGTGCTCAGTATCCCTGGGTCTGCAACCACTTGACATAGTGTACATAAAGCATGTTTATATAGGAATGTGTGAGAAAACTGCTGCCAGCCTAGCCTGAATCCTTCTCTGATGCACAGAGGACTGCCCTTCTGCTGTTGGCCAGTGGCTTCGCTGGCCTTGGTCAAGGATCCAGTGAGCCCAGATCTGACCTGTGTCAGGGGGTAGAGTGAGCACATTGTCTTCATCAGAAACTACTGGGGACATGCGAGAGTGAGCAAATGTTGCTATTCTCACTCGCTGTGCTATTGGATTGCAGTGCTGGCTCCCTCTAGGCAGTGTTCCTGAGGTGCCAGTCCCTTTGAGGGCTTTCCCCTCATTCACCCTGGAGGTGCTTTGAAGGGAGGTGGGACTGTGGCTCTTGGGGCTTCTGATTGGGTGCTGGCACATGTGTCCTGATCTGCATCTTTTTCGTTCCTCTCCCCCCCCATGTCCTTTCAGCTCAGTTGTGTTTATAGGACTGGAGAGAAAGTGCATGTACTTTGTTCAGGTGCATTTTCTTTGTTTAGAGGCCTCAGTTCCATTCCCAGGCTCCACTGGATGGGTGTCTTCCCACCCCTTTTGTGTTTATGGTTCCCAGGCTATTCAGACTTATCTTAAAACAAAGATAAGCTTTAATTCAAATCATTCATTTTTCTGCCTCCCCAAATGCCTTTCAAAAACAATTTACTTAAGATATGACAGAAGCTCATCTTTTGTTCAAACCCCAGTTTGAACTCGTGTTCCTGGTTAATTTATTTGGAGCCACGCCTGCAGTGCTGAGGGTTTACTCCTGGTTCTGTGCCCAGGCATCACTCCTGGTAGTGCTCAAGGAACTATATAGTGTGCCAGGATCAAACCGCGTTAGCATCATGCAAGGGAAGCACCTTAATAACCTTGTATTATTTCTCTGGTTCCCTCCCTGTTCTTTCACTACAAAAACTGTGGCAGTAAAGGTAAGATGGCCTCTTGGAGGACATGAGTCCCGTCATCCAAACTGCTGGCCTGTTACCAGTAAAGCTCTTTTTCTACAATTGATTGGCCCTCAAGCAACAGTGACATTGGATTTTTAACAGCTTTACAATGTACAGGCACTTTGTTTTTTAAAAAAAAATTTTTTTTAGATCACAGCAGCTGTGCTTTAGCGGTTACATTCTGGTTTTCTGCACGTGTGGTGCCAGGGATCAAATTGGGGTTCGCCCACATGCAAAGCAAGTGCCTTAACCGTGTACTGCCACTCTGACCCCAAGTTCTTTCTTTTTAATAGGAATTAATTAAATGACATTTTTCTTTCTGCAGGGAGAACCTTGCTAGTGACATGTACCTCATATCACAGATGGACAGTGACCAGTATGTGCCAATCACAACAGTGGCTAACCTGGACCACATCAAGAAGCTCAGTACTGACATGGACTTGATTGTTGAGGTGCTGAGGTGTAAGTAAATGGTCTGGAAGGTGTTTTTCTCTCCGCATGAATTGTGTGTATCTACTTGTAGCTATTTGAACTGTTTATTTTTTATTATTTTTTGCTTTTTGGGTCACACCTGGCGATGCACAGGGGTTACTTCTGGCTCTGCACTCAGGTGTTACTCCTGGCGGTGCTCATGGGACCATATGGGATGCTGGGAATCGAACCCGGGTCGGCCGCGTGCAAGGCAAATGCCCTACCCGCTGTGCTATCTCTCCAGCCCCTATTTGAACTGCATGGATCCTATGTTTTGTGGTGGTTTAATTGTAGAATATATTGAAAATTCAGCATTTTGTAGTTAAGAGAAATTTAGCATGCCAAGATCAATTGGAAACAAGTTGGCAGTTTGTCGGTCATATGAAGATTTCTTTACTGTGTTTGGCAAAACACATTAAAGTAGTACCTCCTATTGGAGTATTTATATTGTATCTCAGTAGAATGCAAATGATTTGTTTTGATATCATTTTCTTTTCTTTTACAGCTTTACCTTTAGTGCAAGTAGATGAGAAGGGAGAAAAAGTCAGGCCAAATCAAAACCGTTGCATAGTGATACTACGTGAAATATCTGAATCCACCCCCGTAGAAGTAAGTAATTTCTCCTAAAGGGTACTTAGATGCTTTGTGTATGTGTGCTGTGTTTGGAGGTATATTTTATACATATATAAGTATGTACATAACATTTTCTCCTGGGTTTAAACACCAGATTTATTGTGATTCATTTGTAAGTGTAAGTCTTTTTTTTTTTAGTTTTATTTCAGTTATTTATTTTTAATTTTTATTAGACACCATGAGGTACAGTTGTAGACTTACAGATTTTTGTGCTTGGGTTTCAATTATACAATGATCAAATACCCATCCCTCCACCAGTGCCCATTTCCCACCACCACGGATCCCAGTATCCCTCCCACCCCCCATCCCCCCCATCCCATCCTGCCTCTGTGGCAGGGCATTCCCTTTTGTTCTCTCTCTCTCCTATTGGGTGTTGTGGTTTGCAAAAGAGGCAATGGGTGGCAATCATGTTTGGTCTATAGTCTACTTTCAGCATGCTTCTCTCATCCTGGGAGGATCCTCCCAACACCTTTTATTTGGTGCTCACTTCTCTATCTGAGCTGCCTTTTCCCCTACCATGTGTGGCTGGCCTCCGAGCCATGGAGTAAAATTCCTGGTACTAATCTGTAAGAGTGAGTCTTAAACTTTTTGGTCTCTGGGCTCTGTTCCACCATACATTAAAAGACAGTGAGAGGGGCCAGAGATGTGATTGGCTAGTGGAACAGATGCCTTGCTTTGGATTCATCCTTAGCATCGCAAAAGTGAAAAATAAGTAAAATCATAATAACGGTTTATGGCAAATTTAAGTATTTTGGAATTACATACTAAAAGAGGTGAGAAAAGGTGATGTTCCTTTGAAGAGAAGAGCAGTTCTTGTGAAGGGTGTGGTTCCACCAGTGCAGATGAGCCAGCCTCATAAAAGCAGACATACTTATTGTCTCTGCCTAGAGCCTGGCCATCAGAATGTGACATTCATGCTGTTCTATGACCCAACATGTAACCTGTCCTTGAGGATGTTTCATATGCATGGGAGAGAATCTATTTCCCTTTGACTTGAATTGGAAAGCTCTATATGTGTCTGTGAAGACCATCTCATTTTGGGGCTAGAGCAATTATTACATACTCTTATAGCCATTATTATACCTTCCCACCACCATTATTTTGAATTTTCCCACCATCACCTAAGCCTTCCCCAAAAGCAGGTCGTGAATAATTTATTTTATATTGCTTGTTATGAATAATTCGCTAAAAATGATCCCAAAAAGTTTCCTTAGATGAAAGTGTATGAAGATTGTTTTATCTCACCTCGGAGACATTAAGAATATGTATGAGATTACTAACATGTTGTTGCAGGTTGAGCCTTGTGTGCTAATATATATGTTACATAAGTATATACTTATTTTTTTAATTGAAATCGGTTGCCTTCTACTTTACAACCCATCAACATCAATGGAGTAGTGTATGAGAATCCAGGAATTCTAAAATTTTAAATGGGGTGATAAAACTAGAGATGATTTGGGGGTCTGGAGGCGTCTCTGCAGCTTGTTGCTCTCTTCTGATATTTATTTGTGAGTCTGGATCATGGCTGTTAATGAGCTTGTATGGCACCAGAGACAGTTTGTGGGCATGACTGCCAGGCTCCCAGAAGAGCAGGGAGATGGGGGAGGTCGCCCATCCCCAATTTCATGAGAACCTGAAGATTTCTGTCACAAAAGCTGCACACCTGAGTTTTTCAGCAAATTCATTTTCACGGATGAGGCTCATTCTCAGTCTGTGGAGATTGGCTGTGAGCATGGCGGCAACTGGGTTCTGGAGCTTTTTAGCTCCCGGGACTCTATTTGGACGGGGAGTGGGGACTCACCCACCCCCTTCCAGGTTGCCCTGAATGAGACTTAGCCTGCCGCCGGGGCCTGGAGACATCTCTGCAGTTTAATGCACTCTTAGCAATTTGTTTGTCCCATTGTTTGTTTTGGTTTGGGGAGCAAAACCTGGTGGTGCTCAGGGCTTACTCCTGGTGGGGATTGGGGGCACCATATGTGATGCCAGGGATAGAACCTGGGTTGACTATGCTCAAGGCAACCACCCTACCCACTGTACTGTCTCTGGCCCTGGACCTCTTTTTAAAAATCTTCAGTTAACAGTCTATCTTCAGAATGCATATTCAGTAGCTAATTTATTTTCCTTTTCTGATGGTACTGCCATTAATTTCTGAACCTGATTTTTCTCATAATAAGTCATACTAGGTCATAATTTCTTGGTGTGCCTTGGTGTGACTTCAAATGGGTGCTAGATAATTGGGATTATACTTAAACATTGAATGACTTTATGGTCCAACATGGTCCCTTGAGAATATTTGCTTGACCCAGGGCTGGAGCTCACTGGTAAAGTGGGGCTCTTCTGTGTGAGGTCCTGGGGGCCTCTTCCTACGAAAGCAAGGAGAGCCATCTTTCCCTGGGTTCTGTGGGGTGTTGCTCAGATCTGGTGGATGGAGAACTGTGGCTGGTGGGAAATACTTGTCCCACTGAACTCCAGCCCCTACAGGTGATTCTGGATAGGTTCAGGAGTTGTTTCCTCCCACTGTGCTTACACGCCTATGGGCTGTGCAGGCGCTACTTGAGCCTGTGCCTACCTTCCAGCTTTGGCCTATCCGTCTCAGAAGGCCACTGTCTCCTGCCCCTCCCAGGTAGCATCTGAAATTTACTTCACAGTTTGTCTTTTGCTTTTATTTTTATTATGCGTTGCTGTGTTTCAGAACCACGTTTCATACTGCCAAGGCATGTTCCTCTTATCCCCAGCCCTCACTTCACAGGGGAGGGTAAATCCCGTTCATGTTTGCTAGAAGCAGAGTCCAGCACTTTAAAAAAATTTTTTTGCCATTACCCCATCTCAAATTGTGGGGTTTACAGGTGTTTTTTTTTTCTTTTTGGGTCACACCTGGCGATGCATAGGGGTTACTCCTGGCTCTGCACTCAGGAATTACCTCTGGCGGTGCTCAGGGGACCATATGGGCTGGGAATCGAACCTGGGTTGGCTGCCTGCAAGGCAAGCGCCCTACCCGCTGTGCTATTGCTCCAGCCAGCCCCTACAAGTGGTATTAACTAATAATTTTATGTTATTTTATGTAGCTTAACAGTATCTTGGCTGTTAGCAAGTTCTTGTGTCAGTGTTCAGTACTGTGGAATTCTGTAGAAGCCTTTTGAAAGAGCTTCTTAGTTAACAGCATGTTGGACTCCTCCTCCAGGACCCCTAACACCCAGGAGAGCATGTTTACTTGACCAGGACAAAGTGACATCATTGAGCATTGATGACTTCCATCTCTGTTTCTAGGAAGTAGAAGCATTATTTAAAGGAGATAATTTACCGAAATTTATAAACTGTGAATTTGCCTATAATGATAATTGGTTTATCACATTTGAAACGGAAGCTGATGCCCAACAGGTGAGCACTTACTTCCTCATCTGCTTTGACTAGGGTCTGACTGTGGACACAGGGATTACATTGTGGGAACTTACATAGGAACGCTTGTATAGACAGTTTTTGTTGCAATATAATGTAAAAAACATGACATTTAATAAGCACATTGTAAGACAGCATCTAAGAATATGAATTCTATTCTGATAGCTAATGAAAGAAAAATGGGTTGACTTTTAGGGACATGTGATGCTGACTGGCACTTTCATTAGTCGTTATTGTATGTTAACGAGGTTCAAAGGAGCTGTAGGAAGCTCTGTGAGGAGAGCCATTGTTGAGATGACTCCTTTTCTCCTAAAGGAAGAATCTTCTTTGGTGTAGAAAATTAACACGTGTAAAGGGATGCCAGTATAGTATTCATTGTGAAATGGTGTGACTGTGTTGAATGTGTATGTGAGGGGGAACTGAATGCTGGCCAGAGAGGGACAGGCGGGATGGGACAGCAGTAGGTGAGAGCTGTGTGTCTGTGCTGTGTTCTTATTGGGTGGGCATGTGGCAGATAGAAGATCAGACTTAGACTTTGCCTCAGAACTTCAGAGTTAGGGAATTAGTCTGAAGAATAGGTGATTCCATAAAGAAAGACCTTGATTTACAAAGCTGTGCAGTTCTAGTTTCTAGTTGGGGATATTCCTTGTTTTTCCTAAGGTCAGAATTCTAGGCTTTTGGTGTGTGAGAGACTTGGTATCTAGTAACACTAAATAAAATGCTTTATAAATGCCATTTGTCATTCTCACTGGATTTTAAAAAAGTAATCTATGGCTATCAGAGGTCTGCCCACTAGATTTTAAGTGTACAGTTTCTTATTGGAGCTGCTGCATTGTTAAGACATCCTTGGTTCCTTGAGAGTGACTTTCCTTTGGTTTGCAATACTTATTAATAAGCGTTGTAGTCTTGCAGCTAAGATTAACAAATTGATGTTTTGGGTGGTTTTCCCCTTAGGCTTACAAATATCTTCGAGAAGAAGTCAAGACTTTTCAAGGAAAACCAATTAAGGTAAGAAAGACTTTTGGTTATATTATTTTATTTGGAAATCATCTCAAGTATTCTTCTAAAAACTATTATTCTCATTCAGGCTCGGATAAAGGCAAAGGCAATAGCTATAAACACATTTTTGCCAAAGAATGGATTCAGACCTCTGGACATGAGTCTTTACACACAGCAGCGCTACACGGCCTCCTTCTACTTACCTCCAGTGTACAGCCCCCAGCAGCACTTTCCTCTCTACAGCCTGATTGCCCCCCACTCATGGTCTGCCACACACAGCTATCTCGACCCCCCATTGGTGAGTCTGCTCTGGGCAAGAGCTGAAGTTGCAGTTTTCTTTTAAACGCTCTACCAGGTGGTCTAATAGGGAACCACACACATAGGTGTTTGTGTTTTACGTATTGGGAATGAATATGGAGCAACGTTTTTAAAGTGTGTATGTGGGGGGTTATCCCTGAAATGCTATAATCTCAGTCCTTTGCCCATTTCCTCTCATCCCTGTGTGGTCCTCACTTAAACACAAAATGGACTAAGACCTCTGTTAAGGACAAAAGGAAAAGTTGAGCACCAACAGAATGCAACAGACACTTTGTCTTAAAGTGAAAAGGCATTCTAATAAGACTTCGTACACTCAAGAACAAGCTTGGTTTCATTGCTTACTCCAGCCATAGGATGGATTTCTGGTTTATACTCCAGCCAGGGCTGAAGCAATAGCACAGCGGGTAGGGCATTTGCCTTGCACATGGCCTACCTGGGTTCAATTTCCTCCATCCCTCTCGGAGAGCCCGGCAAGCTACCAAGAATATCCCACCTGCACGGCAGAGCCTGGCAAGCTTCTCATGGCATATTTGATATGCCAAAAACGGTAACAACAAGTCTCACAATGGAGATGTTACTGGTGCCCACTTGAGCAAATCGATGAACAATGGGAGGACAGTGCTACTCTAGCCATAGGGTGGATTTCTGATTTATTTTACAGATTTGGGCCTTTGCTATTGTTATAATCCATAGATTTAAAAAATTCAATAACTTAATTTTCTTGAACCAGTTGTTGTAGATGTTTGATCAGGTGGACCCTTGCTGGGAATTGGCATGAGTCTGATAGAAGTAGGGTGGTATAAGGTCTGATATACTCAAAATGAGGGCTCCCACATGAAAGATGGGGGTGAGACTGGGATTGCCTGCTGCTGTGAAACAATAAGGAATAAGAAATTGGAAGCGGTGGGACACATAGACAGTTGAGGTCAGAGAGTATTGGTTGAGTTAGTAACTTAAGGATGGTGGGGATGGTCTGCGTGCAGGCTGGTAGGCAGTGAGGGAGTTTAACGCGTGTCAGGCTCTGATATCTGGACCCCACATGTCAGCACTGCAGAGGGCAGAAAGAAGGTTAGAACTAAATATGGAGTTCAGATATATGGGAGAAAGATTTGTCTTCATTGGTCTTACCTTGATTTAAAATTCTTAAAGTAGAGTTTTGGGGCTGGAACAATAATACATAAGCAAGTAAGGTGGATTGCTGGGACCCCATATGGTCCGTGAGTGCTGCCAGGGATGGTCCCTGAGCATAACCGTGTGACACATCTTTCCCCTTCCCCTCTGCCCAAACCAAAACAATGACTAAAATATAGTGCTGGTGTGATTGACGTCTTTGTGAATAGTCTTCTGTGTAACAGGCTGTAGGGTTTCTCCAGTAGTGAGTGGAGACTAACAAAATTTTGGTGTGTGGGGTGGATATGGTACTCAGCAGGAAGGGCCCCAGCAGTACCTAGAGGGTTGGGGCCCTTCCAGGTTATGGCTGACCTGGCTTGCTAACCCTGACAGTTCATGCTTGGCTCAGCTATGTGTACAAGGGGGCCTCAGGCATGCAAGACTAGTTCTAGCCCGTTGGACTAGCCCTGGTGGCCTCCACCCCATCTTACCAGATTTTAAAGCATATCTTTCTCTTTAGATCTTCTTTTGTTGGTTTTTTTTTTTAATCAAGGAAGGTTTTCCTTTAGTTCTAACCTATTTCCAGTGTAGTTTTTGGGCATTAGCTTTGGCTCTTCTTAAACTTAAACTTTTTTTTTTAATTGACTTTTTGGGCCACACTTGGCAGTGCTCAGGGCTTCTCCTGGCTCTGTGCTCTCTGTGCTCAGGGATCACTCCTGGTTATGCTCAGGGCACCATATGGAGTGCTAGGAATTGAACCTGGGTCAGCTGAGTGCAAGGGAAATGCCCTACCCGATCACTCTGGTCCTGAGTTTCTTGCTTTTTGTCTGTTCTTTTTTTTTCAAATTAGGAGAGGCATGAACATCATCTATCAGTTTGGTGAAAATTCAGAGTGTGAGACTGGGACTGGAGGCTTTGGGTTCAGTCATCTCTGGCATTACATCCCTACATCCCTGAGAAGGCCCCTCACCCCTTGACCACTGCTCAGCAGCTTCCCCTTTACCCGTCCCAAAGTTTCATTTCTGAAGGCCTCCTTTAAACTTCTGAATCATGTCGATACATTTTGGGGAAGTATATCACTGTGAATTATGAGTATCGGAATTAATGATTTGGTTTCTGAGTAGAACATTCAGGAAGAAAAAATAAAATGATTTTTATCCAGGAAGAAGTTATTGTAGTCCTATAGGTATTCCTAAGATTGAGCCTTTGGACTAGTTCTATTGAAGTCATCATGAGAAAAAAAAGGTCGGAGGTGGTTTGGCAGGGACACTGGATTAAGCACTGGCGTTCTATTTGTGCTTGGAACCTGGAGCCCTGAGAGACTGTTGTTCCATGGTGAGGGTGCAGGAGGGCACCTCCAGCCCGAGCTCCTGGGCCTGTGAGGACGTACATCCCCCTCAGCTGTGTGCTGGGTCAGAGGTGAGGTATGACCAACTCACTGTGTGGCTTGTTTGTGTTTGTTTTCGATAAATCCAGGTGACTCCATTTCCAAGTACTGGGTTTATAAATGGGTTTACGTCTCCAACCTTCAAGCCTGCAGCATCTCCTCTGACTTCACTCAGACAATACCCTCCAAGAAGCAGGCAAGTTGCATGAGAGATTGAAATGTATGCTTTTTCCCCAGGGTTTGTAAGACGCTGTAAACTTTAAAAGCAAAAGTGTGTTAACCCTCGGTTACCCTAACCACTGTCACAAGCCACATCCATTAAGTATAAACCAAGTGCTTCTGGCAATCTCTGAATCATATGTGACTGCTAGTCAAGTTCTCAAGCAACAAGACAACTTCTGCACAGGTTTCGATTCTATGCATGTGGGGTGTCCAGAGGCCCGAGAGTTGCAGTGACAGGCTGGAAGCATTGGCTAAACCTAGGACACAAGACCTGGGCTTTGGCAGAGCACGACACGACCCTTTCTTAGAGATATCTGCCCTGTGAGACAAGCTGTGCGCTGGTTGGTCTAGTGACAGGGTTCCAGTTTCTAAGCAGAGCGCGCATTTTATTTAGCTTAGACTTTCCTATATTAGCATGTTCCTTTGGTAATGCTGGGATGGTTTTATAACTGAGCGTATCCCAACGTTGTGTTCACAGGAACCCTAGTAAATCTCATCTGCGCCATGCCATCCCCAGCACAGAGAGAGGGCCTGGGCTCTTAGAAAGTCCTTCTATATTTAACTTCACTGCGGATCGGTTAATAAACGGTGTCCGGAGCCCACAAACCAGGCAGACAGGTCAAACTAGAACCCGAACACAGCACCCTCCCACCTACGCCGAGAGAGACGTGGGGCCCGGGCGCGTGGAGCTGACCAGTCTCCAGTCCTCTCCTGGCTTAGGCAGAGGAAGGTGAGTGACCCCAGCTGCTGTCAAGCCGGCACTTTGTACCTGCCCCAAACTATTAGCATTGCCAAAACCCATTATTTTAGACATGCTTGAACCTCACTTTTAAAGACATTGCAAAAAATCAGACTGAGACATGTGAGCACCCGTTTCTGAGAGCGGTGTTGTGAGTGTTTCCATCGCTGGTCCTGTGATTAGAACTGGATGCAGCAGAGCTCTGGACTTCAGTAGCCAGTTTTCCTGTGGGCTGGAGCCCGCCCTTCATATGCCTGTGGCTACTGTGCCCAGTGGCAAGTGCTCCACAGCCTGTGATGCAGTCACCTTCCGGTCCCACCACACCGACTTTCAGACGAAAACTGTGACTGTCAGGTGTGCCTGTGGGCCACAGGGTGGAGGAGGCTGACACCTGTTCCCACTTCCAGGCAGCAGTGTAGCGCAGGTACCCCTCTGGGCCAGCTCCTACCCTGGCCATCTTCAGTGACAGGACTGACTCAATTCCCCAGGACAGAGCAGTACAGCCAACCTTGTCCTGCAGTACTAGAGGATGGCATTAGCTGCCATGGGTGAGTCAGGGCTTTGGCTTCAGGCAGCAGGGAGTGTGGAGCTGAACTGGTTTTAGCCAGTCCCTCTAGTCAGCTCTGAACAGGCAGGGGGGAAAGCAGCCCCCAAACACAGGGTCAACTTGAGCCTGGTCTTTCTGAGTGCCTTCTTTCAGGCTGACAGGAAACTTTCAGGGCAAATGCTGGAGTAGTGGGTGCAAAGCCTCTCTGGGTGCACTTGTAGAAGCTCTGCTCCTGTGCAGTGTTTGTGTTCGTGCCATTCGAAACCTTGGTCTGATTGAGGTCTTGGCAGTCCTGATGGGGATGTAGTGGACTGAGCAGGCTGAGAACATAGGGGAAGGGCTAGCGTATGGTGCAGGAAGAGTTTGGCTCTGGGCTCTGCCTGGTTTCTCTGTAGCACCCCTGCATGGAGAGATGCCTGCAGGGCCCTGGCAGCTGGAGGAGCCACAGCTGCCTATCAGCACCACAAAGGGACCGCTGGCCACAGCCAAGTGTCCTCCACAGCGCTTCTGCCTAGAGTAAAGAGTCCCACCACCTCACCATGGGAAAGCCAAAGCCCCACCCCCACCCTCCTCAGGGGCCTCAGAGAGATAAGGGCTGAGTCAGAGTGGCCAGTAGGATGGAGGGCCAAAAGGTACCTTGCTCATGGCGTCTGAGTGAAGGCTGCCCCGAACCACCCTTCCTGACAGACACAGCCCACCTGGGTTGTCCTGGCCTCAGCCTTCCGGCTGGGTGTCAGTAGCAGTGTATCGCCCCCACAGAACTCCCCACTGGATGCCAGGGCCCATACTATCTTCAGGTATCTCCACTAGGCCATGCCAGCTGCTCTCAGACAGAGCCCAGGAAGTGGAAGTGCTGGGTGGGGGAGGGGACATTAGTGGTGCCAGATTACCTCATCAGGTTAGCTGAAGTTACTCCGTTAAGACTTTGCAGGCTGGACACTTAGTGGTCAGTCTGTCCCCACAATTAGAACACTGAGGTGGGGCCTGAACAGTGTTGTAAAGGCCCTGGGGGCTCCTGGAGCACTGCTACCATCTTGGTGGGAGAGGAAAGAACGGGTAACCTTAGTCACAGTGAGTTTGGGGTGGTGCCTCATGGCTGCACTCCACATATGCAGGCCAGAGCCCCTCACTTGGTTCTCCAGGTCATCTTGAGGGGTGGCGGTCACAACTGAGTGTCACATACTCCTGGTCACATGCAGGCCTCCTCTGTAGGAACCCCTGCTGCTGCCTGAGTCCTGCGTGCTTCTCTGAGGATCCTAGACTGCCTGTCCTCAGACCCTGGCGCCCCTAACTGGGCTTGGAAGGGGGCTCGCTGCCTGGCAGGTCTCCAAGCCTTGCCTTGGAAGGCTGTTGGCTACTGGCCTGGGCCCCACTCAGCCTCTTGGTGCCTGTCAGCTCTCGGCTCTGTCTGATCCTGCAGTGGTGGTTCTGGAATTGTTGGTTTGGGAGGGAGTGTGACTGTTCCAAAGCTGCTGAGGCTTGCAGTGTGTCCTCTGCCAGGGAGGACAACTACAGGCACCTCTGGCCATCGCTTTCCTCGGGCAAGCTGCTTTTGAGGTTTGGCAAGGGGATTTTAGCCCCCTTTCAGTGTTTGATAGCAGCAGGAGTAGCTTCATCCCTACCTGATGCGCACGGCCCTCAGAGTGTGTGTGTTGGAGCTGCAAAGGGCTGGGCATATGGAGAAAAGTCACAGATGCAGTGTAGTACATGAGTCCCTGGAAGCTGCTTCCACTTCTGCTTAGGGTCGCTCCTGACAGCATTCGGGACAAGGAGCAGGCCACAGGACCCTCTGGGCCTGGCAGGAAGTATGGGGCTCAGTGGTGTGCATCTCTGCCACACCAGCTGCTGGGGTGATGGGGCGGGCCTGGGACAACCACATGTCAATACTGAGCCTGGTCAACTTTCATTCCAATTTTCAACAGTTCAACTAAAAGTAGCCCTGCTCGCAAAATGCCCTGGTTATGTCAATCTGAGTGGATTCTCGAATACTCAGTCTACGATTCCAGGTAGCCGCAAAGAATACCCTGATAAATGTTTCCCTTTGTCTTTTATTTCTTTTATTACCTATGCAGGTGCAAGTTTAGTCCCTTTTTTTTTTCCTGAGACCTTAAGATTTCCTAAGATTTTGTATTTTCTTGTATTTAATGAGGTTGGAATTTTAGAATCAAAAGCCACTTTTTAAAAATTAGTGTAATAAAGACTAATTGGTGATTTGCTCTGATTATGTGTGTTTAGTGGTCAGTGTTCCAGGAGGGAAAAATTTAATAGTCTTTTGCTTTCTTCTCCAGGAAAAATTCCTTTGGTTATCGGAAGAAAAGGGAGGAGAAGTTTACAGTGAGTACATAGCTTCTGTCATTTCCATTTAAGCCTAATTGATCCTAACCAGTGGGAGATCCGATTAAATGAAAGAAGGGTTTGATAGGAGAATTTCTTTGAAGGTCTCCATTGAGTAGGTAATGAAGAGGAGTAAAAAGTCCAAGATGTTGGGAAGACCGACAGCCTCTTTCCTGGACACTCTGTGCAGGACCCTTCAGGGGAGCTCTTTCCTTTTGGGTCACCATGTTGCATGACTTAACATAATTGCCATCGTTAGTTTTGGCCTCAGAACAGATTGTCCTGTTCCTGGGTATTTTTCTGTGCAACACTATTTGGAAAGCACTGTTGCCTTTTGCTCTCCAACTTAGGACACCTAGGAGTAATGTTGGTGAATCTGCTTGGCAGTGCTTCCTGATCCCTTTTCACCCATGGGATGCTGCGCATGTGAGCACTGTTTCTGGGACTTAGTGGTTGACTGGATTCATTTCTTGCCCTTGGACCTTCAGAAACTTGTACTGTTAACCAATTTTTTTTTTTCATTTGTCAATCTCCACCTTCATGATGCAGCCCCATTTGGGGTCATGCTTCAGTTTGAGAAGCTCATGGTTGGGGCTGGAGTGATAGCATAGCGGGTATGGCGTTTGCCTTGCACACAGCTTACCCAGGTTTAATTCCCAGCATCCCATATGGTCCCCTGAGTACCGCCAGGAGTAATTTCTGAGTGCAGAGCCAGAAATAACCCCTGAGCATTGCCTGGAGTGATCCCAAAAAGCAGAAAACAAAAAGAGAGAGAGAGTGAGAAAGAAAAGCTCATGGTTAGATGCTCCTCCTGCATGACACTTGCCCACAAGATGGGATTGCAGTGGCAGGGAGGAGGGAGCTTGGTTGGAGGACTGTCCACGGCCTTCACATGCTCTGCTGCACCATCTAATTCCAGATATGAGCTTTGCGTCTAGAACTCGAAAGTGCAGGTCTGGGGTGCAGGGCACTCACTGGTCCTGATCTCAGTGTCCTCTGGGTCCTGCTAACCTTTCTGTGAGGCCATTCATTGTGATAGACTCGCCGAAATTTTTGAACTAACAAAACCAGCACCTGAATTCCGCAGGCACCTTCCCCGTGGGTCACTAGACCACCAGGAATGAATGCGACTCATACTTGGTTGTGTTTCCTGTTGCTTGATGTGGACCATTTAGGTAACCAGCAATTTTGAGCAGTGACATGGTGGGAACCATTGGCCTTACCAAGCTTGTTGCTTTAATTAAATTTAGTTTTAGTTCCTGAGCTCTATCAGAAGTGATTCCTGAGCACCACCAGGTGCAGCCCCAAACCAAAAAACAGTACTTTTAAACACTGAAAAATGAAGCAGCAGACTGAACTTAGCATCTGATCCCTACTACAAAGTGCAGGTTCTCAGGATCTACTCCTGCTCAAAGGCACAGGGGCAGCGCCATTTTTAAGTGTTAAAACATAAAATGAATTTAATGTTATTCATAACCAGCAATAGAACACAAATTGTCTGTTGTTGCCTTTTCAGCAGATCTGAGTGTTGGGGTAAAATCTTAAATAATGGTGGGTCTGGTGTCGAAATAGTGAATGTGATCAAAGTAGAGAGAGAGAGTAATGTAGAAATCATCTGCCCCACAGGCAGGGGGAGGGTGTGGGATGGGAGTATACTGGGATTTTTGGTGGTGGAGAATGGGCACTGGTGAAGGTACAGATGTTTCATTGTATGACCGAGACTTAGACCCAAAAGTTTTGTAACTGCTCTCACGGTGATTCAATAAATAAAATTATAAAAAATGGAAAAAGAAAAAAAAAAGTAAGGTGGAGTTCATGCACAATTCAATCAGCTAATCAGTGGCTGAATAAATAGCAGTACTCCTACCAAAAAAAAAATCTGGAGGGATTTCTGCCAAAACCTGCTGGGTACCGAGATTTGTTCCTGAGTCTCTTGGATCATGGCCATTAAGCAGCTTGATCAGGAGCCATAGAGACCACTCGGGGTCTCATTGGGATGGAGAAGAAAGGGCCTGCTCCACCCTCATCCCGTGAGGCCCCGCGTGTCTCATCTCTGAGGGTCCAAACCTGACTGTCCAATGGCTTCTGGTGGATAGCAGCCACCGAGCTACCAAGGGGGAGCAAGTGGAGGAACAGCACCCTTCCACCCCTGGGGTGACCCAGCGACAGTAACCTACTGTGGGATCTGGACACATTTCTGCCAAAAGCTGCTGGGTTTTGAGATTTGTTTTTGAGTCTCTGGGATCATGGCCGTTAAGCAGCTTGATCAGGAGCCAGAGAGACCACTCATGGGCCATGACTCAGGGTGTCTTTGGGGTGGGGAGGAAAGGGCTGCCTCCACCCCCATCCCGTGAGGCCCCACCTGGCTCGTCACTGCAGGCCCAAACCTAACTGTCCAGTGGCCTCTGGAGGATGGCGGCCCCCAGGCCGCCAGGGGGAACAGGCCAAGGCATGAAACCTATTTCCACCTAGGGTGGCCCAGTGCAGGTAACCTACTGCAGGGACTGGATGCATTTCTGCCAAAAGTCGTTGGGTTTCCAGATTTGTTTCTGAGTCTCTGGGATCATGGCCATTAAGCAGTTCGATCAGGAACCAGAGAGGCCAGCCTCCAGTTAAATGCAGATGTTTAAAATAAGCCCTCTCAAGATTGCTTTGAAATGGTCGTGTCTGTATAAGCTTTAGCTTTGCTGATGGGAAACACATAGTGATCCAGGGGTGGTGACAGCAGCTGAGTTCTGAGGCCCAGACAGCTATCGAAGGCGCCATCAGCAGGGAGAGAAGCTTCTAGGCACCCTCAGGGATCATGCAGCACCCATTCCATCCACTAGCCTGTTCTTGGTGTGTTCTAGCATTTCCGCTAGACCGCTGCCCTGGAGAAGGTCCTTCTGGGAAATGTTGGTCTTTCAAGTTAGCAAGTCCTGGAAGAGAAGCTCTGCTGTCAGAATGAGCAGCTGGAGCACCTTGTTTCTCCTGGATGGGAGGGAGTTCATTGCACCCCTCTCCTGCCTCCTGTCCTCCACCCAGGAGCTGGGTGCTTAGATAGAACTTCTGTCTTGCCAAAGCAAATTGAAGGCTTATCAGTAACAAGACATCCCTGCATTTTTCCCGAGATCTTGGACTTATTAATCATCCCTGGTTTTGTTTCAGCTGTGTTGGGGGTTGCTCCAGGCAGCACTTGGGGGGGTACCAGGTGGTGCCAGGGAGCCTTTCGTGCTGCCTCTGGCCCCACTCTTGGGGATGTTCAGTGCTGCACTTGCTTTTTTGAAGTCTGGGGCTCAGAATTTGCTATTCAAGACCATGTCTTTGCATGTTGATTTCGAAATTTGAAACTTCCAGTGAGTTAATATTGGGCTAACTGAGCTCCCCCTTTCTTGTTGATCTACTTTTTCACTGGAAATTTTTGTAAGGTTGCCCATAGTGGAAGTGTAGAGTTGGGAGCTGCATTTTTTGGTATATTTTTTCTTTCATTGTCTTCACTGTGGTCTAAATCAAGAGACTGAGGTCAGGGGTGAAGAAGGCTCGGCTGTTTGGCCTCTACCCTGTTTGGAGGTCTCACTCCACTGCTGTTCTGCTACCACTTCCTTGAGCAGCATGCCTCAGTGGTCAGAGGGGGTGGGGTTGTGTTGACCGAGCTCTTGATGTTTGTGCTCTGTCTGACATAGGGCATTTCAGTGTTGGCTCTGGTTGGGTCGCTATTATTTTTCCAGATGTGGGTGAAAAACAGATGATGGGAGAATGACATTGACCTGACTTCTGTGTTTCTTGCTTCTTGCTGTCTACACCTGTGCATGCTTATGGGTGCTGTTCTTTTTCAGAGGGGTCAGACTCAGTCTCCGACACCACCAAAGCCTCCATCCCCGAGCTTCGAATTAGGGCTGTCTAACTTCCCCCCACTGCCTGGGGCAGCGGGTCACTTGAAGACTGAGGACTTGTTTGAAAATAGACTGTCTGGTTTGCTAATGGGATCGTCGAAAGAAAGGGTAAGACACCTGCCACAGGCTGGCCCGACCAACCTTCCTGGGCCCTGCCTGCCTGTGCCCTGTATTTTATTTTATACCAACTGCCAGAGGTGCTTAGAGGCAGGATGACAGATGCCATGGGGATGGGGGAGCAGTGGGGTCAGGGCCAGGCAGAACCAGAACAGAACCCTCTGGCTTTTCTCCTTGCCTGCTGGGCCCATGGCAAGAGCCTCCGCTGTGTGTACTAGATGGTGCAGGCCCCACTGTTCCTATTTCACAGGTTAAAGGACAGATGTGGCCCAGTTCTAGGAGTGCATGCGAATCACAAGAGGCCTGCAGTCTTTTTAGTGCTGGTGACCAAGTAAACATATATCTGCCATACCTGTAGTTTCACTCCTCTACAATGATCACAGTTCCAGGAACCACGAGATGCAGAGGCCAGAGGGTCTTGACTGCCCAGTGTTCCTTCCAGGTCCTACAGTTGTTAGCTGTCCAAGGCTATGAGGGCTGACCAGTCCAGGAGGGATGTGTGCTGGCCCTGAGCTCTGCCCTGACAGCTCAGGGTCTCGGCTGCACACCAGCAAGTCCTGTAGCCGCTGCCTTCTGAGGGAGCAAAGGGGCCAGTACCTATGGCCTGGGAATTGGAGAAGCCTGCCCCAGCTGCACCCAGACTTCCGGCTCCAGGAGAGGCTCTGTTGGCTTCCTGAAGCCAGGCCCACAGTGGGCTTCCTCAAGCGCACTGCCCCTGTGCCTCTGAGCAGGAGTAGATCCTGAGAACCTGCACTTTGTAGTAGGGATCAGACGCTAAGTTCAGTCTGCTGCTTCATTTTTCAGTGTTTAAAAGTACTGTTTTTTGGTTTGGGGCTGTACCTGGTGGTGCTCAGGAATCACTTCTGATAGAGCTCAGGGACCTTTATGTGGTACTTGGAATCGAACCCAGGTCTTAGGGCATCATACAGGCAAGGCAAGTAAGGTTTAGTCCATTTGTAGGAAAGTTGTAGGAATCACAGTTCTGAGCAGTCACTCTGACTTAGTTGTACCTTGGAGACTGAGTCAGTACAGCTGAAAGGACATAAGTCGTAGGACCCAGAGAATCAGTCAGTGTAACTTAAAGGACATGAGTCGTCCAACCAAGTGGGTGGAGAGCAGAATGAGGAGATCCCTCTGACATTCAGAAATAGCAGCTACAAGTTTTTACAACTGAGTTTCTCTGTCAGACTGCTCTCAAGCAAAGCAAACCAGAAGCTGGTTTCAGGCTTCTCTGCTGCCCAGCTACTTGGGGTTTGCCGCTGGCCAGGAGGGGCTTGGCGGTGGAGCAAATAGACTCCTGTCCTTGCTGGTTTGGCTGCAGGGGACCTGGAGACTGGTTTGCTGGGTAAGCTTGGTACCTTGTAAAGCAAAGATTTGAAGAAAAAGCCTTCATTCCATTACCAGCAATGGATTCTCTTTAATAATGCTTATGATCTGCGCTCTGGGAGGCCCTTGTGGGCTCTGAGCCTGAAGCAGTGGAGACCCCTTGCAGTGTGCGTGGTGGTTCCTTTTTTACCTCACTGTCTCTCTCTTGTTTGAGTGGGAGAGTGGATACACCTTCCAGAGTGCTCTTTCGGTGGGATGCCCCATCAGCCCCTTTGGCGGTGACTTAAGGGGGAAGGCCAGGTGGGACCTCTGTTACTGGAGTGAGTTCTGTGGAATCGTGTTGGGGCTGCTACACTGAATAGCTACCAGGGTTTGGGCGGTTGGGAGGGCACTGAGATGTTTCTTTGCCTCTCTGCAGGTGCTACACCTATGAGCGGGGGTCAGACATTCCCAGGAGTGGGAGGGGCAGAGCCGCACTGGTCAATCTAGAACAGCAGTGGTGGAAGCTTGATGATGCTTCTCTAGCCCGCTTCTCTAGCCAGTCACAAGCTCTTCCTTTACTGGTTTGCAGACCCTGAGTGCAGAGGCAGGCACGGGCACGATTTCCCCAGTGACCCCCCGAGAACCCTTGGTGCCGGCTCCCTGTGCTGTGTCCACGACCTATGAACGCTCCCCGTCTCCAGCACGTTCCCCTGAGTGAGTACTGCTGCGTGCACTGCTCCCCAGGCATCCGAGTGGTGCCGCATGAAACTCAGTGGTGCTGGTGTTTTCACAGGGACCCCAAGGTGGTGGAGAAGCAGAGGGAAGCCCCGAGTGTGGACAGACTTTCTTCTGCTCTCATGAACACCGTGAGCAAATCGGTGCAGGTCAATGGCTCTGCCACGGTAGGTGCCCTGATGCTCATCACCCACGAAGGTGTTCTGGGGCTGGGAATAACAAGATTCCAGCTGGTATTCTTCCAGAGGGTCGATGGCTTTCTGCTTGTCTGTGTGGGTCATGTCAGTGACTAAGAAGTGAGCCTCTACAGGGGGGATGATAAAGGTGGAGATGAATGGTGGGGGTGCCTCAGCCCTGTTCTCCGCAGCCCTGTGGGTCCTATGCCCTCTGCCGTATCACCCTCTTTATTCTGGTTTCCGCTCTGTATAAGCTTTGGTTAAGTTATAAAACCTTTTGAATTGATTTTCATTCTCACTCTCCACGAGGTAGAGAATCTTAAGGAAAAAAAAAAAAAGACCAGAGTGATAGTACAATGGTTAGGGTGCTTGCCTTGCATGCAGCTGACCCAGGTTTGATTCCTGGCATCTCATACGGTCCCCTGAGCCCCACCAGGTATAAGCTTGAGCACCATCAGGTATGCTCTTAAAACCTAAAACCACAAAATCTGGGCGGAGGATGCTCTGGGCTTGCCTAGCAGTGTTCAGGGACTGTCAGAGGACCCAGAGAGATACTGCATTAGATAAGGCACTTGCTTTGTTTTGTTTTTGATTTTTGGGTCACACCCAGCAATGCTCAGGGGTTACTCCTGGCTCTACACTCAGGAATCACTCCTGGCGGTGCTCAGGGGACCCTATGGGATGCTGGGAATTGAACCCAGGTCAGCCGCGTGCAAGGCAAACACCCTACCTGCTGTACTATCGCTCTAGCCCAAAGGCACTTGTCTTGATACAGCCAGTCCTAGTTTGATCCCTGGCTCCACATATGGTCCCCTGAGGACTGCCAGTAGTAATCTCTGAGTACTGTTGCATGTACCTCCCCAACCCCCCAAAATTTATAGGTTATTTTTAATTTTGGCAGAGCTGGGGAACAAAACTCATACCTTACAAGTGCAAGGTAAATGATACACCCTTAGCCCCAGGTTATTTTATTTTTTTTTAATTTTTTTGGGGGGGTCATACCTGGCAATGCCCAGGGGTTACTCCTGGCTCTACACTCAGGAATTACTCCTGGCGGTGCTCCAGTGACCATGTGAGGTGCTGGGAATCGAACCCGGGTCTTCCACGTGCAAGGCAAATACCCTACCTGCTGTACTATTACTCCAGCCCCCCTAGGTTATTTTTAAGGAACTAAGTTCATGGAGGTGGAATGTTTTCCTGCATCCAGCCCACTGAGCTATTTCTCTAGTCCTAGTATGTCTGTCTGTCTTTCTTTCCCTCCCTCCCACCTCCCTCCCTCCCTTCCTTCCTTCCTTCCTCTTTTCTCTCTCCTCTCCTTCCCACCTTTTCTATCTTCCTTCCTTCCTTTCCTTCTACTCTTTCTTCCTCTCCTGTAAACCTTGTATACTCTTTCTGTGCCACTGTTTTTATTTCTTCACACTTTCCACATTCTGTGTTCTCCTATGCTCTGCTTGTACAGTGATTTCAAGCTTGAAGGGGAAGGAGGAGGGGCGGCAGCTGGGTCTGAACTCCAGAAGGACTCCTCAGGGCTCGTGTGGAAGGAATTTCAGGCAGCCCTTCTGCCCCTCACAGATTTGACCTTTGTCCGTTTGGGAGAGAGATCTTGAATGTCTTTTGGGGCAAGTCGTGCTGAGGAGAAACTGCGTTGTCTTTGGGCAGATTTTATGGCAAGAGTGGAGGTCCCTGGGGTGTGAGCGTGGGCAGTTGGGACCTTAGTTCACGCTGGCCTGATGGATTCGTGTGACACCAGAGTTGTGTCTGTTCCCAGGAACTGCGGAAACCTAGCTATGCAGAGATCTGCCAGAGGACAAGCAGAGAGCCTTCATCTCCACTGCCGCCTCCCAAGGAGCAAAAGCCCCACTCTGCTGGCTGTGGGAAGGAAGAGAAGAAGCTTGCTGAAACAGAGCCCCCTACCCCCAAATCCCACCCAGGACCCCCCAGAGACCAGAGGAGGCCACTGGGGCGCCGGCCCTCACCACCGGCTATGGGGAAGCGTCCACATCGAGAACAGAGTCCCCCCCCCAAGTCTCCCCAGTGAATGTGTGGTCTGGAGGGAGGTGAGCGTGGAAGCAGCCGTGGGGCTGCGTGGTGCCGAGTGAGCCGCTGGTTAGGAGCTTGCAGTCTGAGGGCCCACGAGAGGCCTGAAGTTATTTTCCTCAGAGTCAGATTTCCCCCCTCTTGGAAAAAAAAATCTATTTTTCAGGATTTAATTACTATAAACCTTATTTTAGGTTGGTGCTTAACTGGAGGTGATGTATAAGTCTGATTTTTTTCAGGATAGAAAATGCATTTGTCCTAACAAACTGATATTTTTTATTACGCCTCCATGTGGCAATGAATGCAAGCTATGTATAGTGAGTTTTTCTAAATTAAGCGGAACTGTGCTCCTTCACTTTTTTAATGACTGGTTAGCAAGTGCGTGTCTCTGTGTCCAGATGCCCAATGAGGACTGAGCGTTGGGGGTAGGGGGTGGCAGTGACAGTTATCCATGGGCGGGGGTGTGCCCTGGAATTCAGAACTCTCGTATTCTGGGAAGCAGCCTGGTTCTGACCCAGTGGGCAAAGTGAGCCTGCAGGAGCTCTGAGAGGGCCCCCCTTCCTTCAGTTTGATGGACTGCAAGCAAGTAACCAGCTTCTCACTCAGTTTTCAAGTGGCTACTATGTAAGATAAATTCAAAGCACATTGTGAATAGAACCTAAATGAAAACATTGATGCTCACTGACTTGTTCATGCAGAATGGAACCCGATGCTGTCATGCTCCCATGGGTGGCTGGAGTGACCCCACTCTTGAGTGCTCTCCCCTGGATGGAAACTTGTTGAACAGTCGAGAATGGTGTTCAGTGGAGGCTAAAATTTCGCTCTCTCTTACCTCCAAGGGTTTTGCTGATCCCTGGCAGCACTGCACCCTGAAAAAGATGTGTGCACTAAAGCTAGCAGTTATGATAAAGTTAGACTTCAATTATTTTGTTTCAGATGTCTAAATTTTTTCCCTTTTAAGTAGTCTAAGCAGCAGACATTAAAATAAGCGTATTTTCTGCTAAATGTAACCTTACAGTTTATTCCAGAAAATGTTATTTCACAAGACTGAGGGTTTTTTTTTAAACAATTATTTCCATCCAATATTTAAAGACTTGAATTTTATTTAAACTTGAAAATGACTTTGCCTTAACTTTTGTATAAGACAGCTTAAGAGTTCCTGGAGCCCGGCCCCTGGGTTGGTGTGAGTGGGTCAGAGTCCCTCAGTCTGTGGGATTTGCCGTCACTGGCTTCACTGAGTGAGCATACTGTAGTACCTACCAGAACTAGCAGTTGTGTTTGTAATCTGCCCTGAAGATCTTAAACAGTTGATCTTTTTTTTTTCAGATTGTTGAGAATCCTGTAAATGCAAATAGTCGATACTGTATTGAATACGTGCACTTGGGAGTGTGTGCTTTGCTTGTACAGTTGTAAATAATCAGAACATATTAAAAGGTACCCTAAAGAGAAAATCTGATAAAAATTATTGATATATTATAAATGTTGCTATTGAGCTGGATGTAGATAAACTAAATGTTGTGGTTTGCATATTATTTTGATTTGTTGAGGTTTTTCTTTTTCTTTATACTGATGTGTTGATCTGGTTCTGCCTCTTTGCTGCTGCAGAAGGAAGTGTGGAAGGTTTGAATCAAGACTCCGATATTTCCATACCCTTTAAAGTATGTAAATATGTACTAATGTATCTGATGTGGAAGGGGTTTTTGAAGTATAATATAGCACACAGAAAGTGGCAAGATCTTTAAGTGAAAGTTAAGCATAATCCACTACTTAAAATAATCAGTAGCTGAGCATGATTGACCTGCCAGAGGGAGGCCCTGAGCATTTGATGTTTCCTTCAGCGCAATTCTTATTAGTCAAATAGCTAGAAATACCCACAGTGCTATTTTACAAATACCTGTAAAATGAAATCTAGGAACGTGTTTCCTTGTAGTTGTCAGGCTGCTGACTAAAAACAATAATTGACCTCTTCTACCCAAACTAATGCGTACTCTGGAATGATCTAGCAAGGCCAGCGATGCCTTGAGGGTTCCTGAGTGCTGCTGCTTCTGCTCGAGGGAGCAGTTGTTGTCCGGCCCTGTGGAGCAGAAACTGGTCTCTGGTGGTGCCAGCCCCTTTGTCCAGCGGTGGGGCAGCAACAGCTGTCCATGGGAAGCCACACAGCCAGCTAGGTTCTCGCAGGGCCAGGAGGAAGGTTGCTGGGTGCAGTGGCTGATGTGGCAGCAGACCAGCAGGTGTCCCGTGTCCCGCCAGTTGCACCAGGTCCCTCTGCTCTCGCCTGTGTGCCCTGAAACCCGTGGGTCTCATCAAGAGTTAATCGTGCCCTGATGTGACTTCTCTAGCCTTGTCTGGATTTCCAAATAGGCCTGACAGGGCAGCATGCGGCCAGCAGCTGTGGCGGGCAGGCATGTCCCTTTCTTCACGTCACTTTCCTGTCCCTAGCAGTTCGTCAGGGTGTGGAATCAGGGGGTGTTAACAAGTGACATTTTAACATGCACAGTTGTGTGACAAGGCTCACCACTTGGAAAATGAAAGAATGAGTATTGGCCCCGTTTCACCAGACATGAATTTCAAGTAGAGTAGTTGTTTTGTTTTTTGCTCCCAGAGTTAGCGTCATGGCGTTTCTGAGCGGCCCTCCCAGGCAGCCATCCCTCTTGTCACCAGCAGGTGGCAGAGCGCGTGCAGTGTTGCTGTTAAGCCAAGATCCGGGCATGCCCCAGAACCTTGGCAGCCAGGCTGTCTCACCCCCTGTGGCTCTGCCCAGGGCCGCAGGAAACAGCCGACAATCACCACAGGGCGATGCTGCCAGGTCCCAGCCTTGAGTGTGCTGTGGGGGCCCGAGGGCCCATGTTTCTGTTCTTTTCATTAAGACTGGAATCAAGCTTACATATGTGTAAACTATTGGTAATTTAAGTTTCCTTCTGTGTCAGTGTAAAATTGTCTAATTTGAAAAAAATGTAGGTTATGAAAAATAAAGATTTAGGCACTGTTCAGTTTTTCTTTTGATTTTTTTTAATTAAAATTTTCTTCAAGAATGTATCTTTTTAAAAATGACTTTTTGCCTGTTTTCATCAGTGCACACGAGGGTGAAGCTGGGCTGTCTGCAGGGGTTGGGGGGCTCCGAAGGAGTATCGTACTGCGGGAGGCAGCTGCTGCAGTCCAGCTTCTCCGGCAGATGCACGTGAGCTGAGTGTGTGTGTCTCACGGGCCATCTCCAGAGAGTTGGAGGCTGCTGTGGGGTGTGGGGCTTTTCAGACCCTAAAGCTGATGGTGCTTCCTGGAGAGGGAGGCTGGCGAGTGTGTGGCATGCATGAAGCCGAGCTGGGTGGGGGGCAGAGATGGAAACGGGCCACAGACCCCCTCGCCGGCCGCTGCTTGCGTCCTTCTCCAGCTTGGGCTAGCTCGCTCTCTGGCTCTCACTCCTGCCACGCGGGTCACATACATCTCCATACCAGATGTCTTCCCTTTTCAGAGTTCTTGATCTCCTGCTTGTCTGTGTCAGTCTTCTGTGATTGGAGGTCTGAGCTTGTGAAAGAATGCCTTCTCTGTACTGCTGTGTCAGATGACAGCTGGAGTCTGTCTGGAATGGAGTGATGTGTGCCCAAGTGCATCGTCTGTACTCTGAGGGTAGACACAGTCTACTGTCAGGTCATGGAGAAAGTTTCTTTTTCCTCTTGCTTGTTGTCAAAGTCCCATGTGGGTATGCATCCCTAGGTGCTTGGGTCTATGCCTCTGACGCTGTAGGGTTTCACTCAGCCACCATGCTGTAAGTTTCCAAAACCATTAGGCATGACTCCCTCAATCACTGTCATGTCCTCATTCTTAGTGCACTGTGATTTTGTAGATGCCTAATAAATATTTGCTCATTAATGACATGTTTATTGGCTATTCTCCATGCTCAGCACTGCTCCAGGAATTTTGGGAGAAACACGGTGATAGGCCATTTTTGCATAACCAACCCAAACCTAGACCAAAATGATGGATCGATCACACTGTGGCCAATGCAGGCTCGGTGGGGCTTGGGTATAGAAGTGGGAGACAACTAAGGTCGTCCCCATGCACTGTTGGCCAGCAAGCCAAAACCATTCAGATCTACCCCTTCAAAATGAGATGCATTCCATCTGGTCTACCCAAATCTTTCTTATTTTTTCAGTGTGTGTGGGGTGTGTACCACACTAGGTGTACCACACCTAGTGATGCTCAGGTGTTACCCGTGGCCCTGCACACAGGAATTATGCCTGGCAGTGCTCAGGGCAGTGCTCAGTGCTACGGGATAATGGGAATCAAACCTGAGTACAAAACAAACGTCCTACCTGCTGTACTATTCCTCTGCATGTGTACCCTCCCCGCGCCCCCCCGCCCCCATCTCTTTCATAGCTAAAACTTCTCTGATCTTACAAATCAGCAGCTTTCAACTTTTTTATACCTGTAGTCCAGCACCAGTCCATGTGCTGGGGGTTCAAAACTGCTGATCTGTATCACTGGCAAACACTGAGAGAGGTGCCGCCAGCAGGTGGCCGGGCCTGACCTAATGGGTTTGTAGACCCCTTGGGCTTATGTGAGGGGGTCTGATTGGGATGTCTAAGCTTTTCTTTGTCCCCGTCCCTCCATTCCCCTAAGAATACCAGGTCTGGTGAGATACAGTGGTTTCCCGTGAGCAGGAGAGTGCAGGGAGTCCATGACTGGGACTGACAGCTGCCCAAGGATCTCCCTTAGCAGGCCTACCAGGGTTTGGAACACAACAGTAATCACAGCTTCAGAACACTTGTGTTGTGCCCAAGGTGGGGTCTGAGGGCCTTGTACTCATGCAGAGGATGCTGAGTCCTGCTTTGCAATCCTTTGCAGCCCTGGAGGACTGCTTGTAAAATAGAAAAGGTGGGGATGGACATTAATTGAGGGGTTGCTGGGCATCACCCCAGATGTGATAGCTCTGCTAATCTCACCCCTGCAGCCGACGGGGTAAGGAGCTCAGACAGATCCCACCTTCTGTGGCCCAAGGTACTCAGGATGCTGCTTCCTGGGGAACCATGTGGTGCCAGGGTGGCCTCTGCTCAGTTGTTTGGGCACCCCCTTCTGACCCTAGTCTTGGTCCCTGCCAAAGTGCTACAGCCTTTGTTTCTTCTCGTCTCTCTCTTCCTGAGGTTGGAGTCTGCTGGTGCCTCCATACTCCCAGATCAGGTCCTGTCTTGGGAAATGAACTGTGTGCCAAAAGTATCACGCCAGGATGTTTTTCTCTCCAAGCAGGGATCCTGACTTGGGCTTTTGCCCCTTGTGGCTTTGGAGCTTTAGCCAGTAGGTGAGGTTCCTTGAGAAACCATCCCCACACCCCTTCAGTTGTGATCCCAAGTTTGGGGGATGGGGTGCCCTTTGACTAACACCAGTCAGCAGCCCACACTGCTAGCTACCTGCCTACACAGGTGGCATGAGCCACACAGGTGAGCACTGGGGTCACATTCTGGCAGGTGGGGCAGCTGGAAGTGAAATCTGTCTTGCTCGCAGTTATTCCTAGAGACAGGGCAGAGCCTGGAGGACCGAGGGGTGTCCAGAGCTTCAGCCACACGAGGACTGGGACAGATCTGTTGGGGCCTTCACACAGGAAGCAGCAGAACCCCAGGTGGCTCCAGTGAACTATGGTCATTGGGCTGTCAGCAGGAACGGCTTGAACACTCAGACAATGTGGCTGAGTGTTCAGCTGTCTGACAGTTCTTGAGACACAGCTTATCTGACTCCAGGTGACCCAGCCAGGCAAGCCTGCAGTGGGCATCCTCCAATGAGCTGGACTGGTGGCAGGAGATGGGTGCCTCAGGCCTGGGTGGTACCTTCTTCAGTACTTGACCCTGCTGTGGGAGGAAGGACAGTAAGCACTACACTAGAATGCTGCTCTATCCCTCCTCGGTACTTCCCCGATCATTCAGAGCAGTCGCTTCCTGATAGCACCTGCCCTTCCCTGGATGCCTCCCCCCACCCCACCTCCCATCTCTAGAGCTATGTCGCTGGACACATAGCTCCAGATGGAGCAGGCCCCTGACCTCCATCCCAGGCCACCAGGTCCACCTCAGGGGCATTCCAGCCCTGTCCATCGCTCCTTGGTCTCACCTACCCTCTGCCTTCGCCAGCTTACGTTGTCTAGTCAAATCCTCTAGGGCTCAGCCAGTGCTGCTAGTAAGCTCTACCAAGTAGAAATGTAGTGTGAGTACACAGTTTGGAACATCACGATAAGGAGTGGAAGTAAGAAGAAACCAGTTCTGAATGATCAGGTGTAAGGCAGGCATGCCCACCGTCGCTGCTGTTTGACAGTGTTGGAGTCTTGGCCAGCACAGACAGGTAAGAAACGGAAATCAAAGGCATCTATATAGGAAAGGAAAACCTATTTGTGGTTGATTTTATATCCAAAATGTAAAAAATTACCCATAAGTTGTTTGAACAAAGTTGCAAGCAGCCATATATAAAACTTGGGGGCATTTCTGTGCATAAACATTAAGGTAATTTAAGAAAATGGTCCCATCTACAAGGGCACCAAAATAACTTCCTAGGAATAAATTTAACCAGAGAAGTGAAAGAACTTTAGAATGAAAACTATAGAACATGGTTCAAAAGAAATGCAAAAAGACAGGGAAAAAAGGATCTCCATGTTCATGAATGGGAAGAATTAGCATTAGTAAAAGCTCTTCCCCAGCCCAGCCCGTTCCCCTCCCAGCCTCGCCCAGCGCCTGCCTCTGAGACTGGCCAACACCGCAAGATGTGGCCTTGTGTGATTACGTCACTTGGCCTCTCGTCCTCGAGGTCATCAGCGTGGTAGCTGTGTCAGACGTCTCTCCCATTACTAGTTAGAGAAGTGCTCTGGGCCGGGTCCGTCGGGACACGTTCAGGTTCCTGGATTCTCCGTGCGTGGACGGTGCCTGGGAGAGGAGGAGGGCCCCAGCCCGGGGAGCCGGCCTGGCCGGAGGGGCAGGGGGCGAAGCGCCCGCGGGGTTGGGCCCTGGGCTTCACCCACGACCCCACCCACGACGTTTTCGCCTTTCTGTTCTGGGCCACACTCCGAAGGTGCTCGAAGGCCACGCGCAGTGCGGGGTGGAACCCGGCCAAGGCGTCCGCGGGGCACCCCGATGGGACGGAGGGACGTGGGTGTCGCAGCAGCGGCCGAGCCGGTAGGGCCCGCGGCGGGGCGGAGGGGACAGCTCCGCCACCAGAGGCGGAAAAGCACGGCCGTGCCGGGGCAGCGGATCTGGCACGCGCAGAAACTCGGAACTCGCGAGCCTCGAGACTCGGGAACCCCGCAGCACAGGAGGCGGGGCGGGGCCCGGTCGGGGGCGGGGCCGGGGCGGGGCCGCCTCGAGGCGTGGTCTCGTGGCGGGCGGGGCCTGGCGTGTGGGCGGGGCCTCGCTGCTCGGCCGCGGCCGTTCCGGGTGAGTGTCCCCGGCGCGCGCGAGGTCTCTCTCCCGCGACCCTGCAACCCAGGCGCTCACCGCTGCTGGGCGTGCCCTCCGCGCAACGCGACGGTAACGTCAGGGCGCGGGTGACGTCAGAGACGTGGGTGACGTCAGGGCACGCCGACGCGGCCGGGCGCAGCCGCCGAGGTCCGGAGGCCTGGAGCGCACGGTCCTCAGTTGGGCGCCGCTGGCTTGGCAGCCGCTGTGCCGCCGCGGGCCCGGGGTGGGAAGGGACGAGAGCCCGCCCGGGACCCCTGGCTCCACGGCGCCCCGCGGGAAGTGGCTGGGGCCTCGGGAACCGGGGGCTGCGTGGCCAGCAGAGTGGACGCTGGACCTCGGGCCCGAGCGCCTGCGCAGCCACGAGGGACGCGCGCGAGCTGGACACGCCGCAGCCCAGACCACCTTCCCACGCCCAGGGGTCGCCGCGAGGTGACAGGACCAGCGCAGCCGCCGCCAGCCTGTACCCTGGCCGGGCCCCACGGTGCTGTTCCCCCAGGCCGCGAGGTTCTGAGCCCGCCCCGGCCCGTCTAGGGGTCCCTTCCCGCTCGCAGGCACCGGCTAAG